GTATGAAGACAGGATACAAGACCTATAAGGTTAAAATACATAGATTGTATTTTAGTCTTTTCTATTTCTGATGAGCTACAAAGGACACTGGCCCAAGACCCAGTCTTGGTTATTAAAAGTCTATGCATAAAAATATCAATGAAACATTACTCATGATAATCAAAAAAGTGGGAATTTTCAAAAAAACAGAGTAATAGTATGTCTTTGCATCATTAAAAATCATGATTACAAGGGTTTTATAATGACATAAAATCACTGTAACAGAACATTAAGAGAGGGAAATATACAAATTTGTATGTAATATGTTTAGGCAATGTATAAAAGAACATATGCAAAGCAAAAACAAACTGGGACAACAAAAGGGATGAAAAGCCAGAGGGGTAAGACCGGGATGAAACAATTTCTGCTCTGTCTTTCCACATGAACCCTTTCCCCTCTAAATAACACTGCCCCAGGACCTCCTCTCTACATACTCTAGAAGGAGCTATTCTGTTTTTCTATTCTCCCCTCCACTGCTCATGGTCTCACCAGCAGAGAAGCTGCTGGTACGTCCACCACTAGAAATCTGCTGTGTGAAAGTCAACTTAAGCTCGGTCAATCTGTTCCTACCCAGAAGCCGCCCTTCCGCCTGCAACCAGGCTTCAGAACAGATCCAAGAACAGACTCCAATGCGCCCTTTCTCTGCGTCCCCTATCAGACTTGGGTCTTAAACATTTTCACTGCATCTTTTGGCATATTACAGCGTTTCCAGCTCAACACCAGTCCATCTTACAATCCAAGCACCCCAGAAAAGGTGTAAGAGTTAAAGTCCCTGATATTTTAGGTGGACGATTTTATCAGAACACTTTCTGTGCTAAGGATGAGGAGGAGGAAGGTCCTGTGCTTTTAGAGAAGGAATCCCTAAAGAGGAAAGATGGGAAAAAAGGAAGCCAATCATTCCTTCTTTATTATATTGTACAAGCGAATGCTGTCAGAGACTGGAGGAACTAGCAGGTTAATCCACACAAACACACAGAATTCAAGAAGCCTGGTCCCTCTGGGAATGCGTGGAAAGAGATGCCCAGAGGAGGTGGACACCCGGGAGAGTGTGGGACCAAAGAGAAAAAGCTGCAAACCACAAGTATTCACACCCAGTGTGCAGGGAAAACAATCTTCCCACTGTGGAATCTGCCTGCCTCTTAAATATCTCCCAAGGGAAGAGTGCAAATGCTATTCATTTGCAGCTCAGTGGGATAAAAACAAAGAAGAGGGAGAGAGGGGGGGAAACAGAAAAACATCTACCTCCCTGACTATAACTCTGCTCTAACAATGACTAAGAAGAATGAAAGGGGAATGTTAGGGTACTTATTTCACTTGTGGGCTCTTTCTGCTAATCCTCATTTCTGAAGCAGCTGGAGTGATGAATGGGCAGCCCTAGACAAGCCGAGCAACAGCCAGTGACCACGTATCAAGAACAGAAGAATTACATATACACAGGATGCTTCTGCACCAGCTGTACCTTTCCCTGGGACACGAGATTACGGTTGAGTCATTCCATGGTGTGAGACCCCTACCCTGATCTCCACTGATGAGGTTAGGATGTCTGGAACTCACAAAGAAAAATTTACCTCTGGATAAAGCTTTTATTATGGGTGCCAGTGAATACTATGTCCCTGCTTGTTCCACAGACACTAAAGATGAAATGGTGATGACAACCCTTCATGATTCCTCCTGAACTCCTGCAATCACTCCAATGATCACCACCTAGACGAGAGGACAGACAGGATGCATGGGACACACCTCCTGCACCCCTTCTTCCTCCTGCACTCCTGACAACTTCTCTCCCAAAGCACAGTGTTCTTCTCTATGAGCTCCCCTCCAAGATGCAGCTTCCATGGATGGAGGGTGACAGGAAAGAAGGGTATTTCCAGGGGTCCAGCCCTCGGACATCTGCAGATGTCCCATGTACAGATAGTCACATGTGGACAGCATGTCCTGCAAACCACACATCTGCTCTACTTGTCTTCACAATGCACGTTAAAGGCTCCCGAACATCACTCTCATCTCATTGTTTCTTTCCCATCAACATCGCCCCACCATGCCCAAAGTCAGTTCACTCTGTCCCATTTCCCCTGAAGAAGAAGTTTCAGAAATCCTGTTCTTTTTCTTTGTTTTTACCACTTCAGAAGAATAATAGCTGAGGGGCAGAGAATCACAACATTAGGGTGAGGTGCAGATTCTTGGCAGTAAATTGGGCTCACTCCAGGGCTTCAGATGCAAGCAGGCAAACAGCCCCACCACATGTGGGCTTCACACTTGTGCCCCAGCAAACTCACAGATACGTTATGGTTGTTCTCTGAAGGACTGCTAATAAACATAGCACTCAAAGTCTAAAGTACTTATAATACCCAGGTCTGGAGCACACTCAAAGACTTATAATTTACAAATCATAAATCTGACACAGAGAAGTAAAACTGCCAAACATCCATTTGGTAACACCTTACACTTCCAATAACTTTATTCAATTGAAAGAAAAATTTTACTCCATTTCATAGCCAAGCAAACAGTTTAAACAAGGGTCAGTGAGGCTAACGTTAGCTCCACACCTAGGCAAATATGTATTTTTGCATTTTTTCAAAGAAGTAAAACATTAATATTTTCACCCCTGATATATATATATATATATATATATATATATATATATATATATATATAACCATGACCCTTCAACCCAAGAAATTTAGAGTTTTAGACAACCTTGGATTCTGTTTTTGGAAAAAAAAAATAGGCTGCATAAAAAGCACTTCTTCTGTGACTCTTGTGACACCTAAAAGAATAATCATGGCAATTACACATCAGAAACAGAGAAGTGATAATTACAAAAATGCAGTGTTCAGCTACCACTTGACTAGCTGGCATGGGCACTGACTTTTATATTCCCCCCTGGGAGCACGCACGGAAGAAGCAGAGTGGAGGAGAGATGAGATACAATTATTAGGACCTGGTGATTTATTCTTCCTGTTACACAAAGGAAAGGGGTGGGAGGTGCAAAGATGAAGGATTCTCATCTCACTCTGCAAAACATGGAAAAATGTTGCTCTTCATCCTTAATTAAATTTCTCAGAAAATGGCAAGGATTATGCAGTCCCCTATGCCTCCCTTCTCTATTGACTTGGCTTCCCAGCTGGCTGACAGCCCTACCATCCCAAGGAGTTCCTTTTCCTTCCAGAAACAGCCACAGATGGGTCTTTCTCTCTCCTCCTCCTCTCTCTCTCTCTTTCTCTTTCTCGATTCCCTTTCTACTTCTGAGAAAAGGTATATTGCAAAACTGGCCCATTACAGCTGAGCAAAGGTTATGGTTTTACAGTTGGAGTATCAGAGAAACAAATATTCAAATATTTTGCCTTTCTGCCTTAGTATTTTCAAATTTTTAATAGTTCCAAACACAGACCAAACAATAGCTTTCAGAACAGTTACAGATGAGACAACAGTTGGTCTCCACAAGAGACAAAAATATTGAGGACAGACCAGGCATTGTTAGACAGCAATCCTCCCTATTCTCTTCTCTCTTTCTTTGCTACTCTGTGCAGTGGAATGGCTGCTTTTCACGCATGCTTAGGCAATTGCCACTTTTAATTCTGGACATAGTTTTGTGGATGCAGGGAGAAACAGGTGAAGCCACTGCTTGCAAAGATGCTGGTGTGGCTGTATTTATAAGATGCTACCACCACCCCAACCTCACACACACAGGCCAGGTGTTGTGTAAGGCATAAATTGCTACACGTGACTTTCTAAGGGAATTGAAATAAGATATTGAAAAAGAGGTAGGAATAGGTTAAGAATATAATTATGTATAATATTTACTTTGGTGTGCTGCCTCATTTCTGATCCTTTCTCATCTCTGTTATAATGAAAGAGATAAAAGTAAGAAGTGTTTACAAAGGATTGCAAAAAAGGGATAAAGCAAATTTATACTCAGTTTGTCACAACTAGGATGAAACAGTATGCATGAATCAAGGAACATCAATTAATTAAAAAAAAAACCCTCCTGATTAGGAAGACAGGTTAATTTTCCATTTGAAATCTGGATTCACACTGAGCTAGATTCCCAGCCCTTTTAATTTATTATTTTTATTAATGTACATCTCAAGTATACAATGATTGCATTTACTTTTGGGAGTTGGTAGAGGTGTGTAACACATCTTCATTACTTTTATGTTTTCTACTCCGCTCACTACCTCTTGTTTGGTGGCAGGGTTTCATGGTCACTAGCAATCCTCCCATCTCAGCCTCCCAGAGTGCTAGGATTATAGGTCTGTATCACCTGCCTCAGATTCCTTCTTATAAAGACCATTTTCAAAATACATACTACAAAGACCATTCTAAAGGGGTCAGCAGGTGCTGAGAAAAGCTGACATCCCTAGTGAGGTCACTACGTACTGATGTTCCCACACTACATCCATAGTGTGGGAAGGACCACAGGTTTGAAAGGCTTCTTCCCTCCCAGCCTCCTCCAAAGTCAGTGCCCTGCAGTGAATCCCAAGTCTCCAGGACTGGAGATATAATTTTTTGGACTACATTTATTGGACTACAAAAGTTCCTGTAATAGGAGAAGCATTTTGTGGAATTAATTATTCTTTAGAGCACATTTTGGGAAATACAGCTCCCAGTTTACGTACATCAAATATATACTTTTCAAAAAGAGGGGAGCTTAGTATGAGTATGGAGCTAAGAGTACTTGGTCACCACCCTTCAGCAGCCCAGGAGTTTTCAAACTTTAAAGCACACAAGAATCACCAGATACAGAACCCCAGGTCCATGAATGTCGAGGGGACCTGAGAGCTTGCACTTCTAACAATTCTGGGTGGTGGTGGTGCTGCTCCCCCTGAACTGCTCTTTGAGTAGCAAAGGGCTGGAACACACTGGTCTCCAAGTACTGAATTGTCCAGTACCTCCCAGGGTTCTCTGTTGTCTCACAGCTCTTTATCCAAGAGGGTAATGAGTGTGCAGATGGGGCTTACCAGTAAAACCTGTTTGGTGTGATGCGTTCATGCATGAGCTGCCAGCGCCTTCCAAAGTCCATGGAGCTGTACAGCTGCAAAACAAGGAAATGGGAAGAATGTAAGTTTCAAGAGCCACTATTGACCATGAATACAGGTGTCCTTCCTGAGATCATTGTGACAGAAGGCAGGCAGCACTCCCAAGTGGGCATCCAATTTACCAGGATAAAAATGTAAGTATGTGACTGTGCCATGTTATCTGGACCATGTAGGTGCACAAACAACTGTTTCTGAGCTGAGGATGATTACCATCGTCTCCTTTAGTTCAATTGTGCTTTCTTTATCCTTCAAACTCTTTAGATACACTTTGAACAATTCAGCAATATCTAATTAAAAGCTATTTACTGAACAATTGCTTCAGGCAAGGCACTCTGAGGGGCATGAAGACAAAGGAGGGGCAGACTCTGAGCTTCCAGGAAAAGTGGGACACATATATATCTAATATGCATTTATTAAAAATGCTTATCAGCTATGTTTAAACCAACGCTGCACGCAAAATATGATCTTTCACTTTTTCTCCTACTGCTTTGATATATTATGGATAATTAGAGATGGAATTCCTCAATGCTACCAGAGATAGCAGGCTCATTTATACTCCGATGTCTTTGGAAGGTGGCAAGGATAGGCCACTCTCACATGTAAGTAAAATTTACTCATTCACACAAGGCCAGCAAAAATGTGACTCCCCCCACAAAAGGCTTTTTGTATCACTTCAGCCCGCCTATCTCCATTTTCTCATCTTTTGTTTCTGTAGAGCACTCATCATAGTGTAATAAATGGTTATAGCTTTGATATTTGTTCACTATTTAGCTGTTTTCACATTCCTTGAATGCATACAAGGTGTTTGTGAAATACACACTGCATAAATCAGTAAAACAGCCAGGTCATAATGGGTAGCAGCTCATGGAATAAGAACACATTCTAGGTGGCAAAAACAAAAACTGATTCCCTGCATGGTTAACGAAGTCAGACCCCATGTTCACTTATTTCACAGATGTAGATCCTTACCCTACATAACAAACTAGGGCTAGGCCAGCAACCTGTAAGAGACTGACAGGAGTTAAGGAAGTTAAGTACAGCATCTGAATCTAGCTGACAACAGAACAATAATAGTGGTAATTCTACCATGTCACCCATCCACATATATTTGAGTTTTACAATAATCTTGAAAGAAAAAGGGAGTGTGCATTGGTAATTTAAACTACTGCTCTCTGGAATTCTATGATCTGCCCAAGCATAGGTGGTCACTCTGTTCTTGGTGTCACCACAATATTCACTATCTGTCACAAGACATTACTGGCTACCATGCCTCCCCCCAATGCTATGATAAGTTGTAAAAGAGGTAGAAATCATGCCTTATCAACCTCGGTGCATCGGTGGTTATACCATGCTGTCAAACAACAGATGAGCACACAGCCTCCTATCTCATGAAACTCAGTCCTAAAGGAGTTAAAATTTTGGTCAAAGAAATTAAGGTTTCAGATTCCTGGTGTCTGGCTCAAGTCTCTTTCCATGTAATGGTTGTTTAGTTTGCCATGATAATTCCACCACATTTATGTTTTGTCTCTCGCAAAAGCTTGCAAACAGGGAATCCAGAAGCAGTCAGCCCTTGAAGCTATGGAAACAGGGTCAGGTGAAGTACAGTCCTGAGTGAATCTCACCAGTAGCACTCACCTGTGGGGCTGTGCTCTCTTCCACACACCACAATCAGGTAACAGCCATTTGTAAAGTTCTAACTACATTATCTTACAACTCACAAGAAGTATTTTTTAAATCAGGTTTACTGGTACAATTTTAATACACATAAAAGTCATATTCATCATAGAAATTTGTACTTGTATATGATATAAGTGAAATCACATAGGGTTTATCTTACTGTATTTTATATTCAATTATTTAGGAAGAAAAATGTGTAACCTCTCATTGACTCCAAATATACAGAAAGAGAAAATGGGTCAGGAACTGAAACTCTAGAAGCTGAGACTAGAGAGATTGACTGGGATACAAATACAACAACCAACTTTCCTGAAGACAGGTGTCTCTACCTGTAAGGACAGTGGTATGTACAGGAGAGACAATAGATGGAGATTCACCGTGTAACAGTGACCAGCAAAGGTGCCAATACAGGTGCCACCCTGACCCTGGTTTGTGAGGCAGCATGGGAAAGAAAAAAAAATGGAGATAAAGACTACTGATGGCCAAAGTGAAGTAGAAGCTACTTATCTGTTCGTTTATCTTCCTGTTTCTCTTTCTGTTCATTCACTCCTCTATTTGTGTGTGAAAACTGTTGGGACCAGATCATGTGCTTGAAAAGAATGTATCTATATGCTTAAATCTGAGAACTGAATTTTCCAGGTGGGGCTTAGGAAAAAGTCCCATTTTCCTTCTCACACCAGGTGTCTGCTGGAAAGCAGCTCAGACTTCAGAGTCATGTTTTCCAATGAAATGTTGGAGAGATGATGGAAACTCTATAACCTAAAGAGTGAACCCTGAGTGCCTTGAATCTAATAATAGCACACATAATCCCCATTCCTTCAAATAAACCTCAGCATGATTGCATTTTCCTCAAGAGAAAGGCCAGGAAAAGTCATCAGCATCACTCTGACAGTCTTGGAGTTTGCATCCTCCAGGGGAAGGGTAAGTTCTTCCAGTGTGGAGGCTCCTGTTGACCGGCGGGCGTTTCCCAGGGTCCATTAAGAAGTATAGCTGCCTCCCCAGCATTCTCCTGAGTCAGAAAACAGCAGTGCCCATCTCCTCCTCCAAGCTTATTCCACCTCCTTGTCCCTAATTTTGCTTTTTCAGCTCTTCAGTTTGACTGATGGAAAAAAAATTAAATTGAATTCTCTGCCTAGAGGCTGATGCAGAGGAACAGAAAGAGCAGGCTCCAATTCATTAAGGGCTTTAGTTTAGCTACCTTGTCTCTCAATCTACAGTAAGTTGCTGAGTCTGAAATGTATTTTTATTCTACCAAGCTAAATCTTTGCTGATGCTTCCTTCCTACATTTATTAATCCTTTTCGTTGAATCATTCATTCATTCATTTATTCACTAAAAGTGTGTTAAACACTAATTACGTGCTCTAGGGACTTAGGTAAGTGCTAGAGTTAAAAGGCTGGAAATATCAGTCAGTGAAAGAAATAAATGTACACAATTACACTACCATGTAAGGTGCACTGCAGCATGAACTGCAGTTCCATCTGCAGAAGTAAGACAATGGGTCATCAATATTTTCTCCTTTCAGTCTTTTAGACATTTTATTACGAGGAACATGTATTGCTTTTGTGGTTAAAATATAAAGGTTTTAACATTCAAATGGAAATGAAACACACAGTGAACACTTAATAGTAACTTTTAGATGATAAAAGTTTTAATGATATGAAAATGATATGAAAGTATTTAATGATATGAAAATTACTTGATATATTTATCTTTTTTTTACTTTAAAGAGAAAAAAAACAAAATTTCAAATCAATAGTAAGAGGATGATGGTTGATATATTTCATAGTTATCTTTAAATTAGTTAATTTTTTTTAACTTTTTATTGATACCAGGGATCAAACTCACTACCGCCTGCTTGCAAGGCAGGTGCTTATGCCGCTGAGCTAAATCCCCAGCCTGTTATCTTTAAATTAGTTACTAGAGTACAAGATATTGGCATTTAATTATCCAAACAATATTAGCACAAACTTCTCTTTTCAATGAACTAAGAGAAATTAGTGTATCATATATATGTGTGTATATATATATATATATATACACACATAATTATTTTGCCTTTCTCTTCCTTCTTTTCCCCATTTCCCCATTTCCTAGTTGCTTTTTGAAGCATCTTTGATTTTCCAATATCTGTTGTACATTTTGGATCTTACTGTTTTACTTTCTCACACTAGACAGACAATATGATCTTTACACATGTGCATCTGGTTTATTTCATTTATGAAATATTGTGAAATATTTCACTTATGAAATATTGTGAAATATTTCACTTATGAAATATTGTCTCAAGTTCCACCCTATAAAAGTCTATTTGCCTATAAAAGTCCTAGTTTATCCTTCTTTATGGTTGATCAATACTCCATTTTATAAAAGAAAACCACATCTTTTTCATTCACTCCTTGATTGATGGGCATTTGGGTTGTTTCCAAGATCTACCAATTATAAATTGTGCTACTATAAATATGGGTGTACACATATCCCTATGGTATGATGTTTTAATAAGCAAATTACTTGATATATGTGGGTATCTTGTGAGAAGATACCCTGAAGGGGAATAGCTAGGCTAAATTTGACCTCTGATCCTAGTTTTTTGAGGAGTCTCCACACTAATTTCCACAGTGGTTGCACCAGTCTGCACTCCCACCAACAGTAGAGAAAGGTTCCTTTTTCCTCACATCGCATCCAGCATTTCTTATTCATTGATTTCTTGATAACAGCCATTCTTTGGGGTGAGATGGAATCTCAGTGTTGTTTTAATTTGCATCTCTCAAATGACCAGTGATGCTGAACATTTTTCCATATATTGGTTTGCTATTTGCATTTCTTCAACTGAGAGGTGTGTATTTATCACAGATGCCCATTTTTTAATCCAGTCTTTAAATTTTGGAGGTCTAATATTTTTTAGTGCTTTGTACATTCTCGATAGTAGTCTTTTCTCTGAGGAATAGCTAGCAAACATTTTTTCCCATATTGTGGGCTGTCTCTTTACTGGGTGGTTTCTCTTGCTGTGCAAAAAGCCTTTTAATAAGATGAGATCCCAGTTGTTGATTCTTTGTGATAGTTCTAAAAGTCTTTGCCTACACCAATGTCAACAGTTTTATGTCTATATTCCAGCAGATTTAGTATTTGTTTTAATATTTAGATCTTTGATCCATTTCAAATTTTGCTTACTGCATGGTGAAAGATAGGGGTCCAATTTTAATCTTTGGCATGTGCAGAACCAGTTTTTCTAGTACCATTTATTAAAGAAGCTATTTTTCTTCCAGTGTTTGGCTCCTTTGTCAAAGAAAGGTGGCTTAGATGTCTGGAGTTGTTTCAGC